TGGAAGACAAGGCTTTGTTTTGCAGCCAAAGTCAAGATGGAGGTCCTTCTGCTGTGGTCCTGGGGATCTACTCCATACGGATTTTACAGTGCGCCAGAGGCTGCTGACCTGGAACCGGAGTGGCCAGGCATTCTGTCTCTTTTAAGCCTCCGTTGCAGGCTTCCTCCCCGACCCCCTAAGCTGCTTGGCGGGATCCCAGGGGATACCCACAGGCTGTTGAAGGCTTCTCTTGTTGCAGTGTCCCGTCTTGCTCTCCTCAGTCACTCTTTTCTTCCCAACCGCTTCACGGAGACGAACATGTGTTTTTGAAAATAAGTGGCAGTCAGGCAAATCCAATTAGTAGCTTAGTGTCATGACAATAGCTGAAGAGCCAGGTGATAAAAGCCTCTCTAGTCTTGACAGCTTGCAGAGGTCCACCTGAAGACCAGGTGAGCCTTGGGCAAGGAATGAATTGGAGGAAGGCGCTAATTTGCTAACAAGGTGGCCCAACAAGATGTCAACCAGTGCAGAACAAATGTAAATACGGTCCCTGCCCCCCCGCCCCCCATCCCACTTGGGGAAATCTGTGCTGATGAGTCCTCCAGCTTTCAGCCTCTGTGGGTGGGCTCCATCTAACCCCTAGAAGCACCGCGGTTTCTGAGCCGGTCCTGACGAGTAGAGAGTGTACCAGTGTTCTATAAAGGTGTAACCAGGAAAAGAGAGACCGTGCTGAGCAGTTGAAACAGAGGGAATTTAATGCATGTAACTGTTTATACAGGAGGGGAGGGGAGAGCTGAGAACCCAAAGAACAGTAACAGCTGAAAGCCACAGTTACTTCTAAACTGGAGGCCAAGGGGGGGAGATGCTTGTTTACTAAAGCGGGGGAGGCATGAGGGTCGTGTGATGGAAAACCACCTTGGGTCTGTCTGGTGAAAGCCGGAGCCAGAGAGGAGATGCCAGAGACACTGCCTTCGGCAGAGAGGGGGGGGGGGCAAAATACCCCGGGAAACACAGCTCACAAGGGTCAGTCTCCTGGGATCCAGCACAGAGCAGCAGAGATAAGGGCTGACCCAGGCAAGGAGGCTGTGTGTGCAGGTTGGGGGGGGGGGAGGGGGGGTAGGGAGACATCACGCGAGAGAGCGCTCCCACTCAGAATCGAGTCTTCCTGGGAGCAAAGCTTGTGTGTGCAGTACCAGAAATGACTCCTGGCTGCCATGAAATCTACCACTCCTGTCAGTGGCTAGTACGGGAGAGCGGAGTGGTCAAGAGAATTACTGTATATAGTTCTTGCTAGGAATGTGGGTCACATGGATGTATGCATTTATTCAAAAAGCACTGAACTATAATATTTAATTTATACCTCAATAAAACATAAAAATATACACACCTAAAGAACATCAGGCTCTGGAATCCCACTGTCTGTTTGCGAATAGCTAGCTCCAGACTGAATTGTGTCTCCTCCTTCCACCCCCCAAGTTCATATGCTGAAGCCTTAGCTCCCAATGTGACTGTACTTGGAGATAGGGCCTTTAAGAAGGTCACTAAGGTTAAATGAGTTTATAAGGGTGGGCCCCTAATCTGATAGGATGGGTGTCCTTATAAGAAGAGAGAGAGAGAGAGAGAGAGAGAGAGAGAGAGAGAGAGAGAGAGAGATGCCTGGGTGGCTCAGTCGGTTAAGCGTCTGACTTCAGCTCAGGTCATGATCTCATGGTTTGTGGGTTTGAGCCCCGCATCAGGCTCTGTGTTGACAGCCTGGAGCCTGCTTCAGATTCTGTGTCTCCCTCTCTCTCCATCCCTCTGCTTGCCCTCTGTGTGTGTGTGTGTCTCTCTCTCTCAAAAATAAATGAACATTAAAAGAATTTTTTTAGTAAAAAAAAAAAAAAAAGAAGAAGAAGAGAAAGAGAAGCCAGTGATCTTTCTCTTCCCCACATGAAAGAAAGGCTGTACGAGGGCGACAAGAAGGCAGCCGTCTGCAAGTCAGGAAGAGAGGCTTCACCAGAGAACAACTCTGCCAAGCACGGCCATCTTGCTCTTTGAGCCTCCAGAATGCCGAGGAAATGAATTTTTGTTCTGAAACCACCCAAGCCGTGGTGCTGTGCTGCAGCAGCCTGAGCCGACTAATATACTGGGCTGTGTGATTTTGAGCAAATCACACATCTGTCTACCTTAGGTTCTTCATCTGAAAAATGGAGATAATAAAAATTCCCCCCTCACGGGGTTTTTGGGAGAATGAAGCAAAATACGAGCACTCGCCATCCAGTAAGTATGCACCTGTAGCTCTTGCTGTTCAGACCCTTGAACTTCTGCCTTGGTATCCCTGCCTGGAATTCTGGGTCCCACCTATCATCAGGTGTTGTCTCCAGCCCCTTAGCCTCACACAAGATCTTGCTGCTCTCCCTGTGTCCTCCTCCTGGCCTCCTCCAGCCAACATTTGGGGTCCAGCTGGCATTGCTCAGAACTGTCACCTGCCTTTCTTTTCGCTGGCTGTGCTCCACTTGGTGACGCCATCTCCGCCCCAAGAGTGTCATGTCCTTACAATTACGCGCTTTGGTCCATTTACCTAGTGGCTTGTGGCTGAGCCAGCCGTATCAGTTTCCCATGACCCCTTCCTTTCTGGTCCTGGTTCCATCCCACCAGCCTGGGTGCTTAGGTTGGCCCAGCATACTGCTCACCTCCTTGAGTGATGCAGGCTACTTGTGCAGACACTCGGGGCTGTGGCCGTTCTAGATTTTTCTGTCTAGAAATGCACTGGGCTGGAGAGGGGTGAGTGGATGAGCTTGCTTTTATTTGTATAGCAAACATGCTGTTTTGTTTGTTTGTTTAAAACTTACACTGTGGACTTACTAGGGTTGGGTTTTGGGGAAATGGAAACTATGTTTGGGGAGGGGGGTTGGGGGCCGTAGTCAGAGGCAGATTGGATACAACTTCCCAGCCTCAGTCCCTTACTGGGCACGTTGTTGCTAGTTTTATGTGGTCTGGGAATCTGTGGTTGGCTGTCTGAGGTTTGCTGGGTCATTTGTAAAGCAGGGGTTCTCAACTTTGTAATGAATCACGTCTATTAGTTTCCAGTTACTGCATATCTCAAATTATTTTAATGGCACAAAGCAACACACACTTATTAGCTCAGGGTTTCTGAAGTTTTTAGCCTCTTAAAATTACATAAATGGTACAAGCTGGGAAGAACAAGTTTAAGCATCGAGAAGATTATAAAGTAAACATGATGCGTGTGTCCCGAACCTACTCTGTTCCAACTCTCTGAGAGAAATGATGACCCAGTCTTACTAGTTACTGTCAGTACATCTATCCGCATTTTTTTGCATGCTTAGAGGAACATATGCTCACACACTACACTCCCTCTTTTTTTTTTTTTTTTTTTTTTAAAACAAGGATGCGCTCATACTTCACTTAGGTGGGACTTCTGTTTGCAAGTGATAGAAACTCTACCTCAACCATTTGGGGCAAAAAGAGGAACTCACTGGCAGAAGAATTTAAACCACAGGACTCAGTCTCTTGGCCTTTTGTCTCTGCTTCTCTCAGACCAGCATTCTCCAGAAGCTGGAACTCTGGTCACGAGAAGCTGCCTGGCTCCCCACTCCAGGCTTCCCGTGCAGAGGGCTTATCCCTCGCCTTCAGCTAAATAAAGCATTCCCAAGAAGGATGTTGATCGGTCATGAGTATCATTTAAGGTGTTTTTGGGGGGAACCTGTGTGGCTCAGTTGGTTAAGCATCTGACTTTGGCTCAGGTCATGATCTCTCAGTTTGTGAGTTTGAGCCCAGCGTCGGGCTCTGTGCTGACAGCTCAGAACCTGGAGCCTGCTTCGGATTCTGTGTCTCCCCCCTCTCTCTGCCCCTCCCATGCTCATGCTCTGTCTCTGTCTCTCAATAATAAATAAATGTTAAAAAAAACATTAAAGTACTTTTGGCTGCAAATAACAGAAACCCCAAGAGCGAGTGACTTAATAGGGGTTTATTCTTTTCATGGAACAAGATGTCTAGAGGTACACGGTTGTTCTTGTAGCCCAGTGATGCCATAGATCTGGGTCAGTGTCTTGGCAATTCTCTTTGTCTTCCCCTCGGGGTTGCAAGGTGGGTACAGCAGCTGTAAACATCATGTTCTCATTTGACAGTGTCTTTTTTTTTTTTTTTAAAGTTTATTCATTTGGAGAGAGACTGAGACAGTGTGAGTCAGAGAGGGGCAGAGAGAGAGAGACAGCGAATCCCAAGTGGGCTCCGCGCTGTTAGCACGGAGCCTGATGTGGGGCTCGAACTCATGAAAGCGAGAGATCATGAGCTGAGCCAAAACCAAGAGTCGAACTTAACTGAACTTAACTGACTGAGCCACCCAGGCAGCCCAGCTTCTCTCAAAAGCAAAACCTGAGACAAAGGCTTTTGTGATGGCAGGGAGATGATGGCAGGGAGCAGGGGTAAGGACTGAGGGAGTGAATCGGGGAAAGAGGGACAGCCAACAGAAGGATGCATTACTGACCTGCTGGCACCTCCCGAGGGGCTTATGAACTACATCTCAGGACTGTCTGCTGGGGGACAAAGAGGGAAACATTTTTCTATCCACAAGCTCCCTCCTCCCCTAACAAAACAATATGACAATAAATATATTTTCCAGTCAGCATATGTGTATGTGGTATACACAGTCCATAGCCACATCATCATACAGATGAACCACACTTACGTATTCTATTAATGGATATTTACACTGTTTTTTTTTTTTTAATTTTTTTTTTCAACGTTTATTTATTTTTGGGACAGAGAGAGACAGAGCATGAACGGGGGAGGGGCAGAGAGAGAGGGAGACACAGAATCGGAAACAGGCTCCAGGCTCTGAGCCATCAGCCCAGAGCCTGACGCGGGGCTCGAACTCATGGACCGCGAGATCGTGACCTGGCTGAAGTCGGACGCTTAACCGACTGCGCCACCCAGGCGCCCCTACACTGGTTTTATATCAAGTTGTCATAAACATTGAAAGGGGCTTCCCCTCCCCCCCCCCCGCCCCCCGCCCTGCTCTGGTCCCAGAACCAAGGAACTTTTATAGCAATATTTCATCTTGCCAAAACATAACTAATTCACACTAACCTATTCAGGGCAAAAATAGAAAAGAGGTAAAAATAGCTTCTAAGTAGCCAAATAGGTGTCAAAGAGTCACAAATTCCAGCTGGAATGGGCAGTCGTGTGTGCGATGTCACTCCGGCTTGGGCTGAAATCTCACGTACTTGTAAGAGACAGCTTTGTTAGCCTGTCCAATCTCACTTTGCTTACAGTTCTAACTAGCTTGGTATCCTAGTCACTATTTCCACAAATGACAAGGGGAAGGAAGCCACTCAAGGAAGCCACACTGCCAGCTCAAACCAGAAGGGGGACCACAGACGGCAGCAAAAACAACACAGCAGAAACAACAACCCAAAACCTTTTTTAAAAAATGTCCCAAACATGCAAAAGAATACTGGTATTTTACTGACTCTGTGGAACAGGAGAAGAACGGAGGTTCACAGCCAGAAAGAATTGTCGCAATCACGTTCGGAGTGCTCTTTCCAAGGCGTGGAGATGAAGGATTTGTTTTTTGCTGTTGTATCTTTTCACGCAGTATTGATTCAGTACCATTGTTCTTGTTGCGCAATATTTTGGAGAGATTTCCCAATATGTAGGTTTCGAATGATGAAGACGTTGATTCTAAAATCTCTGGGGAACATCACTGTCCAAACAACTGGTTTCCATGGAGTTTTAGCCGAGAAGTTTCATCCAGCAAATTGGTTGGGTAACCACAGAGAATGATTTCTCTGCCTCTCTGCACGAGGGGGTGATGCTGACCAGACTTCGCCTGTAAACCAGGGCGGTGGTGCTCCATTTCGTGAGTATGCGGGGACAGTCACCGGCCATCCTTGCACAGTGATGGGTTAAGGCAGGTAAGCAAGTGTTGAGACTTTTATCCATCCTCCTAGAAAATTTCCAGAAATGTTAGAGGTGAGCTGGAATGGAGGGGGCAAGAAAATAATCTGTCTCCAGGAAGAAAGGAATTTGGGAACTTTTTCTGCAAAAGTTCTATATATAACAAAATGTCACTCATTTCTTGCTCAGTTTGTCTAATTAGGAAATGGTTATATCCCAGCTGTGGCATCAGTTAACCAGGATATTAGTGGCTTCGTGAGTGTGTGTGCATGTGTGTGCTCCCAGTGCTCCCTTGAAATTTAGTTAATAGCATTGACTAGAGAATTTTTTTGCTTTGTTCCAGAATCTTGTTACTTATTATTGTTATTAATGTTACCACTCCATTTTGGCCATTCACTTCTTGCCCAGTATTTCTTCCTCTGTTCTTCCTGGGTGTTTTGTTTTGTTTTACATGTTGTGGTAGACCAAATAAGGGCCCCCTGCGAAGGTATTCCTGCCCAGAAATGGTGTGTATGTTTCACTACCTGGCAAGAGGAATGGAGGCTGCAGATGGAATTAAACTTGCTCATCAGCTGGCCTTAAAATAATGAGATTATGCTGGATTATCTGGTGGGCCAATGTAATCATGGGATTCTTTTACAGGGCAAGGCAGAGGCAAAAAAAAAAAAAAAAAACAAAAAAAAAACCAAAACAAAACACACACAAAACAAAACAAAACTCAGAAACAGGGAAATGGCACTGTGAGGAAGGCCTGCCACGGATGACTTTGAAGGGAGCCACAAGCTAAGGCATGTGCAGCCTCTGGAAGTAGAAAAGGGGAGAAAAGTAGATTCTTTTCTAGAGTCTCCAGAAAGGAATGTAGCCTTGCTGACACCTTGGTTAGTCCAGGGAGACCCATTTGGAACTTCTGACTTCCCGAACTCTGAGATAATCAATTTCCGTTCTCTTAAGCCACCGTGTTTGTGATAATTTATTCCGGCGGCAATAGAAAAAATGAAAGCATGTGTTTATAAATTACATTTAAGACGTATTTATGAAGTGTTTGCTGTGTGCTCAACGTTGTGCATGGGGAGAAGATACAAAAGTAACGGAAATGTTGTCACACCTTCTCACAAGTGATTGGTATTTCAGAGGATGAAATAAAGTTTATTTCTGTTATACACACTATTAGCTATCATTATGTAATGCTCATAGTTGCATAGGCAACATGATTGATCTAATCATCCATGTTTCTTGGTTCCTTTTCTGTGCCAGGCACTGTGTGTGCAGTAAGGGAGATACAGTGCTGAACAGATACAGTTACTTAATATGACCAGGAAGAATTGTTCATTTCTGCTACAACCCAGTCTGCTCCTCCTGCAATCTTTTTCCTAATCTCCCAATTCCTCAAACTCCAGATCTACAAAATCATTGGAGCAGAGGTTTTCAACCAGTGGTGTATGTGATTGCTGTGGTGGATGTGAAGGGGCAGGTGAAAATACAATGCCTAGCCCTGCCCCTGGAGATTCGGACCCAGTAGTCTCAAGAAGCATTGGGCTATAGGTTTTTTGGTAAAAGCTCCCAATGTAATTATTTACCTTGTTTTAGAGAGTGAGATAAATAGAGCACTAATGGGCTACAAAAGAAATTACATGTTAAATATTTTTTAAATGTTTATTTATTTTTGAGAGAAACAGAGAGATAGAGAGAGAGAGCAGGAGAGGGACAGAGAGAGAGGGAGACAGAGGATCCAAAGCAGGCTCTGCACCAACAGCAGAGAGCCTAACGTGGGGCCTGAACTCATGAATCGTGAGCCAAAGTCGGGCGCTTAACCGACTGAGCCACCCCGGCACCCCTTGTCTTTTATTGTCATACAGGTGGTATCATGTTATTTAATTACAATGTAATATGATTATAAATTAACAACAAGAGAGTCACTCAAAATCTATACATTTGGGAATTAAAGCACATTCCTAAGTAATTCAGTTTTTGGATAAAAGAGGGAGTCAGGGGGCGCCTGGGTGGCTCAGTCGGTTAAGCGTCAGGCTTCGGCTCAGGTCATGATCTCGCGGTCTGTGAGTTCGAGTTCCGCGTCAGGCGCTGTGCTGACAGCTCAGAGCCTGGAGCCTGTTTCGAATTCTGTGTCTCCCTCTCCCTCTGCCCTTCCCCTATTCACGCTCTGTCTCTCTCTGTCTCAAAAATAAATAAACGTTAAAAAAAAATTAAAAAAAAAAAGAGGGAGTCAGGGTAAAATCGCAAAATATTCAGAATGAAACCGCAAGGAAAGTAGCAGGTATCAAAACCGTAGAAAGCAGCCCACGTGGCATTCAGAGAGAAATTTCTCGCCTGAAGGTTATTAGAAAACAAGAAAGATTGAACATCAAGTACCCAGCTTAAAAAGATACAAAAGAAACAACAACAAAATCCCGAAGAACAGACGAGTTTGCAGACGTTTAAATACAGAAGCAAAATTAATGAAGCAAAATGATCTTAGTGGAATTAAGAAGACCCTAAATTTGTTCTTTAAAAAAAAAAATGAATGAAACAAACTTCGGTTTTAATAAATAAATGGTATTCGTAGTGACAGCAGCGACAGTGGTAGTAATAATTCAGAAACGTGTATATGATGCTCGGTGTCAGACATTTATTCCCCGCTAGGCATGCATGTGCTTCCTTACGTTTCTGGGCCCTCTCATCCGTGAGTCAAATGCTGGCCCTTGAACTGTCAGCAGAGTAGCAGATGTGCTGGTCAGAGCCTGTGTGGGATCCTGTCGCTCTGTTTTTTCCGCTCCCGGTGCTGCTGTGAGCTTGCAGGCCAGGTGCCGAGATAGTGAAGCAGCCTGGATGACTGTGTCCCCAAAGAAGGACGGGTACTCTGGGGAGTTGTTCAGTTGACATTGCACTCTGTGGGAGCAAGAAATGTAACTTTCCTGGGCGAAGTCACTGGCTCACGTTTTAATGCAGCATAGCCTGTCTCCTCCTGACTGAGCCACGTTTCATAGAATGTGTGCGTTCTAGAGTACCTCTCGGTCATTAGATAGATAAACACCTACAACTTGGTCAATGTATTGTGAAAGTGTAGCTGCAGGAAGAGAGTGGAAAAGGAAGAAGCTGGACTCTTCAGAGTTTGTTAATTTTCCTGCTCATTGCCAGACAAATATGGCTGAAGACCCAATCATTTACCGAGACCTACTGGCCCAGGTTGTTTGTGTCCACAAACATACATACACCTCAAAGCCTGTAGTAGGGAAGGGTTTCCAGATTTCTTCACTGTCTTCTGTTTAGAATATTGCTTTGAATTTGTTCATGTACTGTTGCTTTAGAAAGATAGTAAGACTCGCCATCGGCTCCTTTTTTGAATGTCTAATTCCGATAGGCTATTAATGTGATTTATCGCAATGAACTCGTTACAGCATTTTCCACCAAAATGAGAAACTGGAAATAAAACACAACTGACGGGTCCCTGCATTAGGTGACTTGTAACTGAATTTGATCTGATTTCAATGCTAATTCTCATGTTCAGAGTGCAAAAGGGCAAGCCACTCATTCACATTCATTGAGACGCTAGTTCCGTATTATTTGTGTAAGTACGTTTGAAAGTCTCATATTTCTGAAATGTATGGAATATTGAAGCATGCAGTGGTTTGGCATATGAAGTCAGCGTGTCTGAGTTCATATCCTAACCCTAGCACCTTACTAGCTGGGTGAACATGGGCATTATTAAATCATTATTAAACTGAGACTCAGTTTCCCCTTCTGTAAAGTGGGAGCGACAATAGTTACCACCTCAAGGAGTTATGGTGGGGGTTAGAGGTGACCCTCCACGTAAACTGCTCAGTAGGTGTTGTTGTGGATGCTGGTGGTGGGGTGGTGACGCTTATGACCGGGCAGGTTTGAGAGTAGTCCGGTCACACGGGGCTGGCCCTCTGGAGCAGCTCTGCCTCTTACTGGCTGGGCATCTTTGAGGAATGTACCCTCTCTCATTTTCCATTTTCTCACACATGAATGAGGATGATTATAGTTATCTGGTACACCTGTTGGGAAGATGAAATCAAATAGAGTATTAAAAATAGTGTTTGGCAAAGAGATGGGTACACAAGGCACTTAAGAAATGATAGCTATTATTATGAAAACCGAAAATTGGAAAACTGCTATTTAGTTTACCTATATAGTACAGATATCATTCAAACTAATATTCCCTCTTACCATGACCTTCCACTCCTTCCTGTGGCATTAAACATCGCGATTATTATTTTCTGAATTACAGGTTAGATTCTGATACCAAGAGTTCCAATATGCTATCTGATTTTTTTTGTTTTTGTATTTTTTTAATACCTGCGTTTCATGAAGTTTCATACTTGGAAATTTGAAAATCTTTTTATTGTCGTGATACAGACTTGACTTGTCCCCACTGGGTTTCACTTGCAGTCCACGTTTTTTGCTTTTCCTCTTTTTTCTCCTTCCTTCCTTTTCCCCTCAGTCTTCCTTCTAATCTTTCATCTTTGACTTCTTCCCTTTCTTCTTTATAATTAGAGACACGTCCCCACTATAATCCTGGAATCTCCCTGTAACACGAAGGACTAGATCTGTTCTGTGGAACAGCAACACTGAGAAAGCAACCTCAAGTGAACGCTGACCTTTTTGGGTACCATATGTCTATTTAATGATCATCTACTCTGCCACACAGAGGCTACTATGGAGCCTATGGTTTTTGCTCTCATTTCTGCCTAAACTTGACATTCTTCCAATGCACTGTTAATTTCAGGTTGCGAACGTTGGATACTTTTTTAACCTATGCTTCTTTCTTCGATGCTACTATAAACCTATTAGCCTTCAATTGTCTCTTGCTTACTAATTTTAAGTCTTTAAAGAAGATGACGCAACCAAATCTAGTTTTGCAAAGTACCTCAACAATATAAAAAGGTATTATTGCTTTTGGGTCAAGTCCTGGCCACGCAGGGAAAGTGTTCCAGGCAAAGCCAACAATTTCTTCCTCAGTTGCCAAGACTATATCCATTTGTTTATTGGCACCAAGTTG